ACGATGATATTCATCATTAATAATGTTTTCGTTGCAATAAATCGCTCATCGCTCCGAGAATTAAGCATTCTTTGACGTTGCGTGCATACAAAGTGCATTGTTTTTACAAAGAGAGATGATTCTGGTCTTTAAAGACGGTGATAAATATATGTAAAGTATGAACGAGGCTGCTTGAATAGATTGAAATATCATATTAATTTCCATTTTTTTACGATAATGTTTCCTACGATAAACTAAAGAAGATGTAAAGGCTTTTTTTTTAAAGACTTTTTGTATCAGAATAACGCTCAAGCAAGTAATATAGCACCTCTTGCAGTCAAGAAGCATGTAATAAACCTTAATATTATTTAAAATTTTTCTATTTGTCGTGAAATTGCTACCAATATCATATGTTGAATTTGATTCATTATAATAACCGAATAAAGACTATAAGCGTACACTGTTAATTATATCAGATAACATAGAATTTTCATGTGTGTATAATATGAAAATTGTATAAAAATGTAAGAATGCTAAAAACAAAACAAATTAAGTTTGAAATCAATCTTTCAAACAACATTTTTTGATACGAAATATAGCAAATTCCTTTCTCCTTCTCTTTATCTTATCCAAGTATAATTCCGTAAAGAAAATCGACGCGATTATTAATATACGATATTAGTGTATTGAAATAAAAATAAGTGGAATGTAAAAACTCATTATATAACTTCTAAGATCCTGTTTTTCGAACATCATTCGCAAACAATGTGTTACGTTACAGAATTTCGCGGAGAGAATTTCCGCATATATCGAGAGTCACTTGTAAATCTCCCTCTTTTTTTTTCTCTCTTTCTATAATCTACGCAGATACGATTGATCACCGTATTTGATGCTTGAACGAACTCCGCAGAAAAGATGCACCATATCATCGATAGCTCGATAGAAAGCACTGTTCGATGTTAGCGTTACCAGCGTAAGTTGTTGCCGGAGATTCGTTGTTCTGTGTAAGCATATGTGTATATATATATGTGTGTGTGTGTGTATCGGAACGTCGTTACCGGTATGAGTTAAACGCGTCTGTGTTCTCTCGGGTTCCCCCGTACTGGTGGGACCTTGTTTCATGACCCACATAAAGCAAGGCCGTTAACACTACTCACGACTCGCGCACATGTATGGACGGTAGGGTCCCTGCGAGGTGAGCTTCGCGCTCTATGGAGGTCCACGTGCATCTCCTACCACAGGCAACGCGTCGGACTCCCGTGCGGGATGGCCCCAAATTCGTACCACCTGGTGTACTCGAAAAAGATAAGATATCCGAGATATATGTACCTCGTTTAGCTAGTGTGTTACTTTTAAATGTCACATGGTTGAATCGAGAGCGTCTTTTTATTAACTCATTAAGAACCTAATTAAAATATACAAAAATTTAATTGTGTAGTTAAATCACAATTGTTTTTATTTTCTCAGATAAATATAATAAATACTGCTATATTCTCTTATATTTAAAAAATCACGTTTGATATATATTTGAGACGTCTATTATATATATGTAAATTGTTTATATATATGAAATTTATTCATTAATGTTTAACGTGGAAGAAAAAGTATGGTTTGCGTTTATTTCTCAAAAATCTTTTTTATAAAAATATTTTTATAGAATAACTATCTCTTTCTTTCTCTCTGAAAAACTGCACACGTTGGTCATTAATGGGTTAATTTTTTGATAAGACGGAATAGAAAAAATAATGTATGTATTAAATATAATTGTGTAATTTAGTAATATTTTATGTCTCTAGTTTTAGAAAAATAAAATTAATCGTCTATCTAAAAGTGATTTTGTGTAATAAGATGTATAACCGATGAAAATTGACGGAGTCAATTTTTGGCTGTACTGTATTATTTATAAGACAACATGTAAAAGTAAATAACCTCGTATTCTTCAAGATTTGTTGTAAAAGTAAAGAAACTTCTCATGTATACATAAAAGACTTAAATTTTTTTTCTATGTCAGGATTGAATGCGGAATATATTAAATTAGTTTTGCTGTTTTTTTATTTTCTAGGTATTAGAATAACTTACACTTTTAACTTAATATGTGTATATATAATAGAAAGAGTAAAAATATGAAAAAATGTAAATTTTTTGCTTTTATATTCATCTAAACTGTTTTGAAATACTTCTTAGCTATCTTTATAGTTATTATATGAATGTGTTCAACATGTGACAATGTCATTGTCAAACTGCAGAAGTCGTATTTACTTGAAATTTGAAGAATTTTTCCAAAAATTTCTCTTTGTTCTCCTCCAAGATATATATTTTTACGATTCAGATTCACGCGTACCGTCCTTGTGTAACTTTATTAAGCGCGCGAGCAATCTTTGCGAAGGTTTTTATACGGTTCATCTTGATGAAGTGGTCCGGCCGGTACGCAAGGAACCCAACGAGCGAGATGAAGAAGCCGCGGTCCCTGCTCCTCTCTTAGCACACGGTGTGTGTATTGTACGTGCGTGTGCGTCGTGCCGTATCTCGATGCTCACTCAGTAGGTCACACCGACGTGATGCGTGTGATGGTGCGAGCGAGGATATAGTGGTAGCGCGTACCAACGCGCGCATGGCGTTATTGTGTTAATGCTGGAGTCTGGTTGCGGGTCCGGCGAACAGGCCCATACAGTGGCACGGCACCTTGATCTTGATCTTGACTCCGCGCAAGGCCTGGCATACGCTACCGGGAACGTGGATGATTGCATTCTACGTTTTCGTATTTCGTGTGAATAATCGCGCGATTTTTTATGAGCGCAGAGAGAATATATACATGATTGTTGGTTGCATCGAAACTTTTTTTTTTTTTTTGGTATAGCTCTTTTTAAAAAGCTTATTTTCAAATCATATCACTCATATTTTCTTAGTAATATTTCTTTTTATATTACTCCAATCAAATTTATATTATTTATAAAAGTATATAGCAATATATATAATAGAATGTTTATATAGTCGGATTAAAATTATTTCAATAACATAATGTAGATTTCTCTTTTTACTTTTACAAGTCACATTATGCATATGTTCTTCAATTTTATTATTTCGTAAATTAAATCTTATTATATTCTATAGTGACACTATTGTGTGCATGCAAATCTTATTAATTTATTTATTATAGGAAAAATATGAATATGATGATATATACAATCGAGTAATCATCGATAAATCTTTAATAATAATAATATATATATTGTCTTCACAGACATTAGTTAATTCGTACAATTTACAAACTTCTCTTAATGGGACCATTTTAATTTGGTTTTAATCTTTCCTGATTTTTTAGTAATCCTTTTTTATGTATATATTGTAAATATAAATTTCGCAATCTTTTGCGATCGGTCCACATCAAAAGAAATGTATACAAGTTACATTGCAAAAGAAAATTTCATTTTATTCCTGTGTTAAACATTGTTCATTTCCTCTCAATTACGAAATCTTTGGCGGATTTAAATCTACTGCGTTTTTAGCAAAAATTTAATAAAGTTGAATATATCTTATTATCCTTCATATTTCATACATACATGCCATTCATATTATTTATTTAGTTGCATATATTCTCTAAGAAAGAAAAACTTAATGTTATACTATTTTATAATCACTTGCGAGCCACAACAGTATATAAAAATTTTTCTTGAGATATCAGAGAGTCTTTTCAAACACAAAAAATAATTAATATATATAATATTCATGTACCACGCACAAACTTTTTTCATTTCCGGAATATCATAAATGATACATGCTAGGAAAAATTGATCAAGTTCATCGACCATATGCTCCTATTCGATCGTTTCGACCTGAATTCACGGAGAAGATTCTTCGCTCTAAGGAGGCTTTAAAAACTGCGATTTACGTTTTCTGACACGCTATCCGTAATTATCGATCGATTCGTGTCGATCACGACATTGCTTTAGATGCGATTTTATATACCAGCGCGAGAGGTGACTTAAAATATCAGGAGCGGGAAGATTTTAAAAGCAGATGTTTCTGATTCTTCGAGTTTTCCTTTATTTTATTGGTATTATATCTCTCTCTCTCTTTCCCTTTACA